TAAAATTCATATGGAAACACGTAAGACTCGGAATAACTAAAGAAATCCTAAGCAAAAAGAGCGAGCCTAGAGGCATCACAATACTCAATTTCATATTATACTGCAAAGTTAGGATACCAAAAGCAGCATGTTACTGGCACAAAAATAGACACATAGACTAATGGAATAGAATCGAAGTCACAGGAACAAACCTATGCAGGTACAGCCTTCAGATTCCTCAAAAACACATTTGAGGGCCCGGGGATTTAGCTCAGTGGTTTCATCGCCTGCTGCCAAGTGCAAGGACCCGAGTTCGATCAATCCCTGGTACCAAAAAAAAAAAAACCCACATTTGAAAAAAGACACCTCTTTAACAAATGGTGTTAGGAAAACTGGTTATCCATATGTATGCAAGATTGAAACTAAATTCCTATCTCTTATCCTGTACTAAAATCACTTCAAAATGGGTCAGAGTCCTAAGTATAGGACCTGAAACTTTGAAACTACTAGCAGAAAATGTAGGAGTGCCGCTTAAGTCATAGACACAAGCAGAGACTTCTTCTTCTTTTTTTTTTTTTTTTTTGGTGCTGGGGATTGGACTCAGGACCTTGCGTTTGTGAGGCGGCTGATAGAACCATGGAGCTAAATCCCCAGCCCAGAGACTTCTTGAATAGGGCTCCATCAACACAGGATACAATTGCAAAAACTAACAATTAGCACTACATCAAATTATGAAGCTTCTTCACAGCAAGGGAAACAACCAACCGTTTAGAGAGAGCATATAGAGTAGGAGAAAGTCTTTGCCTGTTCTTCTGACAAAGGATTAATATCTAGAATATGTACAGAACTAAAAGATATCAAAAAATAAATAGGCCAGCCATTGGTAAATGAGTTGAACAGATACTTCTCAGAAGAATTACAAATAGTTAACAAGTATATGGAAAAAATGGTCAACATCTTTATTAGAGAAATTAAAATCAAAACTACATTGAGATTCCATTTTACCTAATCAGAATGGCTATCATCAAGAATACAAAAAATGGGGCTGGGGATTTAGCTCAGTGGTTTCACCGCCTGCTGCACAAGCGAAAGGACCTGAGTTCGATCCCCGGTACCAAAAATAAAAAAAAAAAGAATACAAAAAATAATGAATGCTGGCAAGAATGCAGGGGGGAAAAGGAACATGGGAATGTTGCATATGGGAATGTAAATTATTACAGCCACTATGGAAATGAGTATGAGGGTTCCTTAACTGAAAATAAAGCTACCATGTGACCCAGCTATACCACCTTTTGTTATCTACTCAAAGGAATTAAAGTCATCCTACTACAGGGATACCTTCATACCCAGGTTTATTTCAGCACAGTTTACAATAACCAAGATATGGAACCAGCCTAGGTACCAATCAGTGGATGATCAAATAAAGAAAATACGTGTATGCACAATAGAGTCTTGTTCAGCCATAAAAAAGAATGAAATTATGTTGTTTTCAGGAAAGTGGATGAAAATGGAGATCATCACGTTAAGTGAAATAAACTAGACTTAGACAAGTATTCAGTGTTTTTCTTAATATGAGAAATTTTTTTTAAAAAAGTCATCAGAGTAAAAGGGAGACAATTATTAGACTAGAGAAAGAATAACAGTAGGAGACAGGAGTTGTAAGGGAGGATCATAGAGTGAATGGATATGATCAAAATATGTTATATATGTGAAAATACCATGTTGAAGCCAAATACACATACACCAACTCCCCACAATGACTGTAGTCATTGTATAGTGCATACATATACTAATGAAAATAAGAATAAAAAAGAAACTAAATATTTACACCAGACATAAAAATATATTTTAAAATATTGTGTAAAACTTTAGGATATGTTTTAAATAACTCATTAGAGTAGTGTAGAAATCTGATACAGTATTAGTATACTTAAATGGAAGCTTGTTTTAGGCTGATTTTAAGTCATTTATAATTGGTTGAAATGTGAAATTATTGTAATGCCATTCTAGTGATGCTCCAAATGTTTTCCATTTCATATTATTTTAATTTGTCAAAATTTTGCTCTACATCTGTATATGTTTTACTATCTTATAGAAAATGACTATTTCAGGCCTAAGAAATATTGTATGTTGCTAGGTTGTTCATATCATTTCAGTTGATACATCAGTAATCCACAAATCAAAATCTGATAAGGGCTGTTCTCTTTGAGCAGTTCTGCTTATTCCATTTGAATAAGAAGTGGTATGGGCAGTCAAGATAATGTGGTATGTTCTGCAGTATTTTAAATCTAATTAGAGAGATGTAGTATTTTGGTACTTTATAGTGCAGATTCTGGCATTATTTTTTTTTCTCGTGAATATTTAGCCAGGTACCGTTTAAGGTATATGTACAGTTTTAGTTCATATAGAATAATATTAGGGAATTACATTTTAACAAGGGAACTTTTATAAAATGTTAGTTAAAATATTGTGAAAATCTAGGGGGAAAAGTTCCATGTGAAGTCATCAGTATATGTACATTGAGTGAATACACGAGTCTAATATTTTTCCTTTATCTAAATAACCGATTAAACACTTATTTAGCCATTAACCTTTGAAAAACAGTTTAAAAACTAGATTTTATAAAATATATCCTTTGCTGTTATTCACTAATGATATCATCTTTTTTATAACTAGGGGATCTGTTTTACATTTTTTTCTACACAAAATACAAAGGTTCATCTGTCTTCTCTTTGATAGGGGATAGATGCCTTTATAATGATAGGCAGAAAAGAAACTGTAAAGTTTGCTTGCTAGGATTTTATTGCTGCCTCAGTAGTAAAACCAGCTGATGCCCAGGAAGGGTTAAAATGTCTTTGTCTAAACTGTCACAGCACATCTCCAAAAGTGCAGTAATTCTTTTCATGGAGTCAGGCCCATACACACACAAACACATTCCAAGGTAGTGTTACTTCCAGAGTGGTAGTTTTCTGTTAAGTGTAGATTACTAAGGAAGTTATTTCCCCAAGTTGTGAATATATAAAGGGTGGCTTAGAAATACAGTGAATATTTAAATTTTAAAAATTGGTTAAAAGACTCATTTTCATTAATCCCCCTCAAAATATTCCCTGTTGTTTCGAACATATCCCCATTGTTATTGAAACTTCTGAAGCAAGTCTGGAAGTCTTCATTTGTGAATGTATTTTATGAGATGTGATGAAAAATACATGAATGCTTTACTGAGTACCATCCAGTGGTACTTGTAAAAACATATAGTATGTTCTTATCCACCTTATTCGTTGGATCAAGCGCCTTGCGACTTCGGCTCTTCGCAAAGTCAAAATGAACATGAAAGGTAAATGTTTCCAATTTTCAGGACATGAAGGAAGTCACAGTAGCACAACTAAAGACACTTAATGAAAGAAGACTTTCAGAACTGCTTCAGAAAGTGGCAAGAATGATGGGATAAGTGTTTTCAAACGGGGGGGATTGGAGAAGGATTAATGTCAATGTGTCTTTACTGTAATAACTTATTTTTTTATTTAAACACTATATTTTTCAGTTACGCCTTGTCTATTTATTGTATACTGGTTGAACTAGGTTTTAGGGGAGAAAGGAATGAAAGGGGAGTTCTGTCTTCTAGAAGTTTACATTTAACTTAGAAAATAAGACATAAATAAAAAGACTAAAAGTTATATATAAGTGATTTAGGCTGTTATAATGGGTATTATTTATTTAGAATTATTAAATTTTTATGGAGAAAAATCATTAAAGATTTTTTCCAAATCCTAGCTGGCTTGTAAAAACCTTATTTACCAAATTTAAATTGTAAGCCTGTTAGGGTTATGTTGTTTTACTCACTTATGTCATTTAATTTCCTCAACAACCCAGTAAAATTGGCATCATTGCTATCCCGTAATAAAAGCTTAAATCACTTCGCAGTTGCAGTTGAGTGGCCTGTCTGGTTTTAACTTTGCTTATCTTTTTATATAGTTTGTTTTACTGTTTCTCTACATTGCTATGTCGTTAGCATTCATTAGTTTACACTGAAAGAGTACTCTGACAGAGTCATCTTATAAAGAGAGCTGATTCTTTCATTTTAACCAGGTCAGAAATTCTTTCAATTATAGAATTTCTCTTGGAGACTTAATGATTATTTTAAAAAAGTTTTTATCTGTTTTTTAGAAGTCATATAATTTAGACCTTTTTTTTACTTCTTTTTTTTTTTTGGTACCGGGGATCAAACTTGGGACCTTGCGCTTGCGAGGCAGGTGGAGGAACCACTGAGCTAAATCCCCGGCCTAGACCTGTTTTTTTAAAATGAAAAAATAAAATAAAATAAAATGAAACTACAAAATGGGCTGGGAATTTAGCTCAGTGGTTCCACCGCCTGCCTCGCAAGCGCAAGGACCCAATCTCCGGTACCAAAAAAAAAAAAAACAAACTGCAAAAAATACTTGAAGAGCCCAGACTAGCAAAATGACTGCTCAGTTAGTTGCAAGGCAATTTTTTCACCCTAATGGTTAGTATTAACTTTCAGCAATCCTTCTCTTTATTTTTTAAGCTTATAATCATGATAAAATATATTCTTCTGCTTTTTTAAAAAGCTATATGTAGTGCTTAGATGATCACTATATGTATATGCTGAATTGTAGCTGTTATTTTAAAAAATTGAGGGCATAAAAAAAGCAAAGGGATCCCCTGTATTAAGATTATAATGGTTGTATTTTTTAAATGTTCATTGATTTGTCAGAGAATTTTAAGTTGACTGAGGAGTGACGTCCTTCCTGTTTATTTTCCGAGCTTTTGAATTAACTTTTTTAAAGAAATAAATTTTGTTTTTAAAAATAATTGGTTTGGGCTGGAAAATCAGGTGTCTTGTTTGATCAGAAGTATGAGTTTTTGCAAGAATAATAGTTATTGCTCTAAATTGGTTCTTTCAAAATAAGATAACCTCTGTTAGTTGTTTTTTAAAATCAGTAATTGTGTACTTACTTTCATATACACATCCAAACTGACTTGTCATTACTTTTACTTTACAGGAACCATCTAGAACAGTTTCAGGCAGATACAAAAGGTAAGAATGCTTACATTGTGGAAGCGCCCCTCCCCCAACCCAAATCCCCAGCCCATACTGGGGATTGAATACAAGGCTTTAGGGCTCTTTTCCTGGTTTAAAGATGGCTATCTATTTCAATGTCCTCATGTGGCAGGGTTGGCAGCAAGCACTCTGACGTTGCTTCTTAGGGAGTGCTCATACCATCACAAGGACCTCCACCCTCATGATCTCATCTAGACCTAATTATTTCCCAAATATTCCATCTCCAAATATAGTGCTGTCACATTGGAGATTAGGCCTTCAGTGTCACCTATACAATGAATAACCCTTCTACAACAGTATGTTTATTTATGTACATGTATTGGAATTAAGTATGAGAAATTGTTCAGTGGAATTACCAAAGAGATTAATTTTCTTCTTCCCTTTTGAGGCCATAGAAGTTGCAGAAGTTTAAGTTAATATTTGTGCTAATAATCGTAGATCAATGAGTTCTTCAATTGTTCAAAGTGCTTTACGTGGAAGTCTTATTTTACAGTTGTTTTATGAAGCAGATACAATATTTACTTTGAGAATTATTTCCCTGGGGTTATAAACGTATAGCAGAGTCTGGATTTTAACTTAGGCAGTCTGACTTTAGAACCTGCATGTTAATAACTAAATACACCAGACCATCTTTATAGATTTATACATATAAAACCTTGTTTTTACCTATTTATATGTTAAAAATATTTTTGTTAATATATCCCATCTAAAACATTTATTAGCAGTTATGTATGAGTAATACTTAATTTTTATTTTTACCATGGCCAAAGTATCTTTTAGCAGTAGAGAGAGATAAGGCCAAGATAATCAGCAGTTGAGTAAGTCTGAAACCATTTCTGGCACAGGAAAACACTGAATAGGTGTGCTACTAATTTTATTTTCTCTTCTGGGTGGTTTTGATATAGGTATAATGAAACTTCTCCTTTTAATCTTCTAATATTTTTATTTACTATGAATAGTTGAAAGTCAAAAGAATATTTTTGCCAGAAATCACTTTGGAAAAGCTTTTATTTGACTTGTTCCCGGATTATATTCTCAAGCCAAAAAACTTTTTATTATCATTTTTTGGTTTGGAGAATAACGATAAACTTGGGTAACTTAAAAAGTTTGTTGTACCATTTGTACATATTTAGTATGAAGAGTTTCAAATTATGAATGACAGGTTTGTGTTCTTTTACTAAAACCAGTAGGGGAATACTTTTTAAAAATAAATCTTCATTAAAGGTTCTAGTGACACGTCATTGTCTTAGAAAATTGTTTCCCGTGTTATACATTTTTAAGCTTTTGAGATCATTATTTTATTTTTGACATGTTCATATACTTGTACTTTCATTTCTGTAGCCTAGAATATGTGGTTTGTTACTTTGTAGCTTTTAAAGACTTAGCCCTATTTGTAACTGTTAAAAATATTTGTAATTTCCTACTAATTTTTCAGAGTTGCAGCAATTCCATTTTGATATAGCCTAAAAAGCATAAATAAATAACCAAATACACAAAACCTAGAAACTATACCTGAAATTATCTGTTCTTTATCTGATAGGAATATATTATACCAAAAGTTCGTTAATCTGTGCAAGTGGTAGCAGTGACTAGAGAGTGGGTGTTCTTCATGAGGGTTTCTGCTGGCAAATGGAGGTAACAAAAATAAAGAATGGGCCAAAAGAGAAAAATTGAATATTATGTGTTAGAAAGTATTTTCAGTAACCCTTAAAATAACTTACATGATATACATACAGAGCTAGAAATAACTTTAAAAGTTATTAAACAGTTGAAGTACCTAGAAAGCTTATTTTATGTATGTTCTACAAAATTGCTAAATATTATAATTTTGCCTCAAAAATGTCAAGAGTGTTCTTTTTCAGCACTGAGTGTTACACACTCAGACTAGCTATGCTGTATTTTAAGGTGGAATGAACTCTTGTTTAGAACATCTCATATATTCACTGTTTTTCTTTTAAAATAACTTTAGGGAACTGTTTGGAGGTGGGGACATGAGATTTCTTATAGTCAAGATTTTAAGATAGACCAATCAATGTCGTGTGTTTGTAGAGTTTTTATGTTTTCAGTGTGTAATTTTGTTAGCAGGATATTTACTGTGTTAAATGTATAGTAATTTTTAAAAAGGGTAAAACAATTCTGAAGGTCTTGGAAAAGGTAGGATTAACCAAGATATGCCATTTACTATTTTGATTTAAGCATGTATTTCACACATTGGGAATGATACTGATTAAAAACCTGGGAAAGGGCTGGGGATTTAGCTCAGTGGCACCATGCCTGCCCTGCAAGCACAAGGTCTTGAGTTGGATCCCCAGTACTGGGGGAAAAAAACCTGGGAAACAACTCAAGACAAATATTGTTTTATTTTTACATAATTAACTAGTTCTTTTGTTTTCACTGATGTGTTTAATCCAGTGTTATTTTGTTAATAACATTTATACAAAGTAATAAGTGCTTTTTAGCCTCCATCCTGCCCTTACCCGCACTTGGATTTTATAGTTTGTAAGCCTCCTGTACAGACTTTACTCACCATAGCCCATCAGATAGCACTCAGGCTGGCATCTTCTTTCCCAGATGAGGAAAAGGTCTGTGAACTTTTTAAAAAAACCATAGTCTTTTAAAGCAGAAATTGAGTTATAATAGATAATCTGCAAGTTTCACATTATTATTATAGTTTTATAACTTTATCAGAACTTTTCTTCCCATATATTTATATTGATAATCTTTTGAGACAGGATCTTGCTATGTAGTTCATGCTGGCCTTGAACTCACAGTGTAGTCCAGGGTGGCCTCCATGTCCTGGGGATCCTCCTGTGTCTCAGCTGTATGAATGCTGGGATTACAGGTGTGTGCCACCACACCCGATTCCCTTACATGTTTTTGCAACTTCGGAGAATGGTTGAAGAAGCATTTTTTTCATACACTGTAATTGTTTTCTGAATTTTAAGAGCAATGCATACTTACTATTGAAATGTGAAGATTAATATTAGGAAAACTCACCCATAATTTTATCACCCAAGTCAATCACTGTTAATGTTTGTTTTTTTAATTAAATTCTTTTATTGGTACATTGTAGGTATACAACACAATTACATTTCTCATTGGGAACTGTACCTTTACATAATGCATCTTGGTTCTTATTTATTCCCCATTCCTAGCCCTCCCTTCACACCCTCCACCCTTCCCT